GTGCGACAGTTGCCAAGTAGGTTTTAGACAAGTTACATAATACTACAGAATCTTTTTATGAAATGTATTGGACTTTTAAGGGTATTTTTATTTGATGCCGATACATTGATAATGATAAAAATAATGCTAATAATATTCGCATAATGATAGTAATGAGTGTTTGATAATGATAATGGCAATTAAACAATAATACCTAATTAAACTGCATAGCATTACCAACTACATAAATAACACTACTAACATTTACAGAAATACAAAAATACTTCCTCAAACGCAGTACTTGATCCCATTACCGTTACAGAACAGGTTTTAAACAAGTTACATATTTTCTGCCTGGATTTCCATTCAGCCAGAGTGGAAAGGGTTAAAACGACCGGATCTTACTGAAAGCGAGAGTGGACGGGATTTTTAAAGAAATGGAGGGAGTAAGAGAGACGAGTGATAAAGAATGGGTAGAGTAAAAAGAGGCAGGAGGAGAGAAGGGGATGGATGTAGGAAGAAGGATGAGGATGATAGGAGGTGGAAGAGGAGAAAGAGGAGGAAAAGAAGAAGAGGAGAACAACAACAAGAGAAGGAAAAGGGAAAGGAGAAGGAGGAAGAGGAGGGGAAGAAGAAGGAGGAGGAGGAGGAGGAGTAAAGTGTGAGGAGGAATCAGGAATCATTGAGAATAGAAAAAAAAAAAAGAAAACATTTAAGAATTAGAAACTAAAAAATATAATATAAACCCCTGCCCCCCTAAAAAATCAAACAAATCCAAAACGAACATCCAAATATCCAAAAAATCACAAGAATACAACCGGAACTCTCCCCCCCGCTCCCTTCCCCTCCATCCCGCCACCCACAACCCTCCCATTCCTCAAAAAAAGAAAAAAAAAAAAGCATTAAATAGAAGAGAAATAAAAAAAGAACTTGAGGCCAGCGACAGGCCATTAGCCGAGGCCCGAGTGTGCTGCGAGCGAGCGGGAGACGCCACAAAAAGCCGTCAAAAGCTGATCGGGCCAGAGACGGTGACGGAATCAGCTGACCGCGCCCATCACGCGTTAAAATTGATTCGGAAAGAGGAAGTGGGAGATAGATGGATTGGAAGATAGATAGGAGGGGAAGGAGAGAGGGAGAGTGGAAGAGGGGAGCGCGAGAGTGGGAGATAGATGGATCGGTAGATAGAGAGAGAGAAGTGAGAGTGGAAGAGAGGGGAAGCGAGAGTGGGAGATAGATGGATTGGTAGATAGATAGATAGAGAAGAGAGAGGGAGAGTGGAAGAGAGGGGAAGCGAGAGTGAGAGAGAGGTGGGAGATAGATGGATTGGTAGGTAGATAGATGGGAGTGGAAGAGAGAGGGAGAGTGGAAGAGAGCGAAGCGAGAATGGGAGGGATGTGGAGATAGATGGATTGGAAGATAGATAGATGGGAGGGAAGAGAGGGAGAGTGGAAGAGGGGAAGCGAGAGTGGGAGATAGATGGATTGGATAGATAGATGGAGTGGAAAGAGAGGGAGAGTGGAAGAGAGCGAAGCGAGAATGGGAGGGATGTGGGAGATAGATGGATTGGAAGATAGATAGATGGGAGGGGAAGAGAGAGGGAGAGTGGAAGAGGGAGGCAGCGAGAGTGGGAGATAGATGGATTGGTAGATAGATAGAGAAGAGAGAAGAGAGCGGAAGAAAGGGGAAGCGAGAGTGAGAGAGAGGTTGGAGATAGATTGGTAGATAGATAGATAGAGAAGAGAGAGGAGAGTGGAAGAGAGTGAGAGATAGGAGATAGATGGATTGGAAGATAGATAGATGGAGGGGGAAAGAGGGGGAGAGGAGGTAGCGAGAGTGGGATATAGATGGATTGATAGATATATGAAGGGAAAGAGAGAGGGAGAATGGAAGAGGAGGGAAGCGAGAGTGGGAGAAAGAGAAAGAGAGAGATGGAAGAATAAAGGTGGGGATCGAGCTAGTGAGTGGCGATTAGATAAAGAAAACGTGGAGGAAGAAAAAAAAAACGAAATGGAGAAATAATAATAATAATGACAATAATAAAAAAGAACGATCGAAGTCACGTAAACGAGAGAGAACACGAACAAGAAACAGGTGAATGAAATCGAGAGAGAAGAATAAGAAATAAACCATGAAAAAATATAGACTAAAAAAGGGTCGACTAAGATTTTTCGTGCGAGTTCGAAAATGCTCGACTCCAGATCCTTGCCTCGCCACAGACCCAGCAACAACGGGGAGACTGCCTTATTTGTGATGCTAATTGAAGAGGTCGTTTGTACGAGCGTGTGTGTGTGTGTAAGCGTGTGTGTGTGTGTGAGCGTGTGTGTGTGTTTGTGAGTTTGTATGTGTGAGAGAGACTGTGTATGTGTGTGGGGTGCGCGCGCGTGTGTGTATATGTGTGCATGTGTGTGGGGTGTATGTGTGTATTTGAGTTTGTGTGTTTGAGAGTGTATGTATATGTTGGTGTATTTATATGCATGTGTGTATGCATGTTAAGGAAGGAAATGAAAAGAGGAATAGGTCA